CGGGGACAGGAGCCCTCACTGGGCTAAACTCGGGGACAGGAGCGGGCTTGCCACAGAAACGGCCGGCGGGCTTGCCACAGGAACTTCGGAACTAGACTTAGGAACGGCCGGCGGGCTGGAGAAAGCTGCGGCCGGCAGGCTTGACTGAGGAACGGCCGGCGGAGGGGTCCCGGATCGGGATCGGGATCGGAGGCTCTCCAGACACCGGATGACTGCCTCCTTCCAGTTGAGATTGGTGGTGTCTGGGAGCTCCGTGGGGCGATGGTAAGTAATCCCGATCCGGAACAGCGTCACGAAGGTTTCCCCCTCGAGCGAGTTGGCGAGGGCGAGGGCGAGCGGCACGAACGCCCTCAAGTAGACAATCGGGTCGGGGCTCGCCTGATCCACAGCGATTAACCTCGCTTATTCCTCCATATGAACGGGGAGAAACGAACGGGAAAACAAAACACTTTTAAAAACGGGGGGGAAAGGCGCTGCTTACTTTCCGTTAGGGTCTGCTGTTCTGTCACGGTCACTCGGGGAGGAAGGAATGAAGGAGCACTCCCATTTATCATTTATTGTGTATGAATTGGATTACTAGAAGTACTACATTAAAAGTTTTGGCTAATGGAGTACATACTGGCAGACCAGTACTGAGACATAAGACTAACCACAGACTTAATAAAAGAAAAAAAAATTTCTTACCTGTGAACCTTTTTTACTGCCCGGCAAATTTATGATGAGAGTTTTCCCTCGGATACCACACACGGGTCTGTACACACACAAATCAAGACAATTCAAAAGAGACTAATTTCAACATTGATAAAAATCAGAAATGTTAATTGAGCAGCAAATCAGCATATTAGAATGCTTTCTGAAGGATCATGTGACAATGCTTTCTGAAGGATCATGTGACACTGAAGACGGGAGTGATGATGCTGAAAATTCAGATTTACATCACAGCAATAAATTACATTTTACAAAATATTACAGTGGAAATCAGATATTTTAATTTGTAATAATATTTCACAATATTTAAAGTTTTTAGTGTATTTTTGTATATTTTATTGTATTTGAGTATAGGAGACTTCTTTCAAAAACAATGAAAAAATTAAACAGTACTTTAACAGTACTTTTAGCTTTTAACAGTAGTGTATACATATTGATTATAATTATTATTATATGCAGGCAAACAGGAAACAATTGTAAATTGTAAAAAATTGCAATTACCTTTTTGATTTTTTTCTTCCATGGCAGAAACAGGCTTCCATAAAATTCTGATATTTGCATTATTATATTCTTAAAAATGTTCCTATAAGTCTATATCTAGCTGTTATATTTCTCTACTGGAAGCTTATGTACGTCGAGCCAATGAAAGTCTGATTTCAATGAAGTCAGTGTCTTTGATTGAGAGGCTGATCTGGGATCAGTTTTCTCTGAGTATACTAGTGAGTATAATTATGAATGAAAGTCAAATATCTTCTACACTGAGATGAGCATGTTGAGGACATGTTGAAGTGAGACCTGGAGAGCATTCCCAGAGGAGTGACATTCAGAGAGCCCACCAGCATGGCCAGAGACATCCCTGGAGCTTCCCGCTCGATCACCTCTTTAGTGGCCTGGACATACAGACATAATGAGAGAGAGAAAGAAATTATGTCTCTTTAATGTCTCAGATTTGTCTAGACCTGCTGAGATTAAATGAAGGTGTCTCAAACTGTGTTCAAATGTGCCAAGATACCAAAGTTTGCAATCAAAAGTCAGAGATCTCGATATGAACATTTTTCATGAATGATCTGAGCTGCTATCCACTTTCATTTTAGAGCACTATACACTTATTGTATGTCAACAGCGGTCTTATTTATATATTTCGTGAAATGAAATATTACTAAGAACTCCATTGTGTCTTCTGAGCTATTGAAGAGCAACCTCTGAGCGATACCATGTTCCTCTGGGAGAGAAGCTTGACAGGAATGTCACAGATCAACAGAGGCTGGTCACATTAAAACCCTGGATGATCCTACTGTATGACTCACTGCACAAAATAATCATCTGTGTGCGTGAGTGACACTTCAAATATCATTAGAGAAGAACGAGGGAAAACATCAAAAGAGGAGAATTGATGAGACTCATGGGATGAGCAAGAGAGAGTGTGTGAAAGACAGAGAGTCCCAGAGTCTCCTTTTGCAGAGAAATAGTCCAAAATCCGAGACCACTAAAGCTTCTATTTTGCATGATTCTCATTTTATAAATGATGGCAGAACTGGAGAAGACAATAACTAATAATTTAAGATGTTTCAAAGCGCATCTTGAACTAAATTTGAACTGAATTGGCCACAACACACATGAAGCTCCATCCATTCATCTGCTCATCCATCCATCCATCCATCCATCCATCCATCCATCTGTCTGTCTGTCTGTCCGTCCGTCCGTCAATCCATCCATCCATCCATTTCTATCTATCAGTCTGTCCATCCATCCATCCGTCAGTTCATTCATCCATCTGCCCATCTGTCTGAGTATCTATCAGTCCATCCATCCATTCATCTGTCCATCAGTCCATTTGTCCTTACATCCATCCATTCGTCCTTCCCTCTGTCAATCCATTCATCCATCTATTCATCTATCCATCCATCTATCTATCTATCTATCTATCTATCTATCTATCTATCTATCTATCTATCTGTCTGTCTGTCTATCTATCTATCTATCTATCTATCTATCTCACTGGTGTGACATCAGAGCTCATCTCAGGACGTTTGGATGAGAATATGGCACATAAATAAAGCCGAGATGAGGCGAGATCAGGCATCTGAGAGCTGTTGAAAGCTGAGATCTGATCTGGACCAGTGTGAGCACTGGAAGTGCTCTAGTGATGGCAGATGATTCAGTTTGGCTTATGGTCAGAGTTTTTGGAGTTTTTTATTGAGGACTGTAAGAGAATATTTTAGGCAGGAACACACATCTCACTCTCCACACACACATATGTGGTGCAGGACCGACCTCAGGCGTGACATCCCGAGGAGCGAAGCCAGTGCCACCGGTGGTCAAAATCAGGTTCAACTCTTTCTCATCACACCAGTCAATCAGAGTCTCCTGAACCAAACAAAAAGAAATAAATGTCAGCAAACACTCGCATGTCTCTTATGCTCATCGAAGGCTTATTTAATCAAAAATATAGTAAAACTGTAAAAATTGTGAAATATTATTACCATTTAAAAATATTTTTTTACATTATAAATGTCTTTACTATCACTTTTGATCAATTCAGTGTGTTCTCACTGAAAAAAGTATTAATTTCTTAAAAAAAAATCGTACTGACACCAATCTTTTAAACAGTGGTGTGTTTTTTTTAGGCTGCTATATATCATTATTACATCAACTGTTGATAAAACCATTTTATTTTCCTGTTACCGTACCTTGATCTCATCAATTTCATCAGGGACAATTTTGTAAGCGGAGATAGTTCCTCCAAGCCTGAAAAACAAGATCACGTCAGTATTAGAAGAAAATCTTTAGGACCATAAAGACAATGTGTTTGTAGAAATCAAGCTTTTATTTCTATTGCATGGTGCCATCCTGTGGCCAAATCAAGAATTAGGACAAACAGAGAGAGACGGGGTGTGTGTGTGTGTGTGTGTGTGTGTGTGTGAGAGAGAGAGAGAGAGAGAGAGAGAGGAGGAGAAAAGCACTTGAGGCAGGAGGTGTAGAGCAGCAGACAGGTCTTATGTAAGGTATCTTTTTTGTAAAAAATATATTTTTCTCGCTCTTTTTTCCCCCTTTTTGCGTGTGTTATTTTTAGGAAACTTTCGAAATGAATTTGATGGAAAATTGCAACCATTGCAACTCCATTTTAATTAGCACTTTACAAACTATATGTAATTGTAAATGCAATATACACACACATATATATATATATATATATTTGCATTTACAATTACATATAGTGTATAAAGTGCGAATTCATTTTTATTATTTATTTATCATTAAAGACATGTTTTTTTTTTAATGTAAAAAAAGATATGTCTTTAATGATAAAAAAAAATAAAAAATAAATACAAAAGTCCAGATTGGTAAAATTAAAACTGATTATTAAATGTAAATTATAATTTGAATAATACTTAATTAAGAATTATAATTCTATATTAGTTTAGCTTTTTCTTCAGCTGCCCCATTACATGAAAATTAATATTAAATTATTTTATACTACTTTATATATTTTACTTTGATGATCTCTGTTCTCCTTATATAATAAACATGAATTAATAATAGAATATATAGAGAATAAAAAAAACACATATTTTATATAGATGGATCTATATTATACATTGAAATTGTTCTTTCATTGCAGTAATTTTTGTTTCCATTTAAATACATGGTTTATTCTATTAGAGATACTCTTCAATAACAGAGCAACAGTAACACCTGTCAGGTAAAACACGGTAACCCTTGAGTGTTATTGGGTTCAC